GGAATATACATGCATGAATTGCCATTTCTAATTAGCAATTTGAATGCTTAGAACAAGCGGTTTCAATACATTTAGTTCACATTTTAATGATGGATCATTTTAATATGCTGAAGATAAATGCAGAATTACAACCATCATTAATGCAGCGTCAATAAATGGTTCTAATTATTAATCTTTCCTTTGCTCACAGATTATTTGATTTAAAATTAGACTATTGTCGAAGAAATACTAGAATCAAAGAGGTTTGATGGCATTTAGAATTAAAATGTAATTAATTCATAGTGAACAATCAAATTTATTCAAAGATTATCAATAATTTTGATTTATTTCGTTTTCTAGCTAGTAATTGAAATAGGAGTTTTTATAATTACTTCTATTTCAATATATTGCATCTATTATACAGTAAACTTTACTAAAGCGGAGCTTGTCAATACAATAACCCAATATAATGTTGTTGGGAGCCTTATTTTTATCAACATGATTGCCTTTGAGTCGTTTGCAAATGCAACATCCTTCTCCTTTATCCCTATGCCCTTTTTCATCATAAGAACCTTGAATTCATTTAAAAGTCAAAGCTTGCCTAAGAAACAAATAAGGTGAAATTGATTGTATTGACTGCAATTATAATATTAATGTAAATTTTGGGTTTTCCAAACCAAAATTATGATATATGATGGGATGTAAAGTTTAAATCTATGAGTAAAGTCCGTTATAAAGGTATAACTGAATAATTCTGAGTGATAAGATAGGTAGTAATGAAGATCTTTAAGGATTTGCTTGCCTTAAGAGGGCTAAAAAGGGTTAGAGATAAAAGAGAATTTCAGTCAAAAATTTTAGCAATCAGCAGATAACTAAACTGATTATCTTGAAACGGTGTTATTGTGAAGAATAACTATAACCTGTCATCTTGACAATCTTGACAGATTATCAATTTTACAATGAGACTCAAAATACTGGGGAGGTGAAGTAGATTGTGATATGCCAATTTGAAAGAATATAGAAATACTCTTCGAAATAAGAATTTTGGGAATAACTTATTTAGGGGATAATCAAAATTAAATTGAAAGGATTAGATGCTCTAACTTTTGGACTTGTGGAGGAAACCCATGCAATTAAGTCGATTTTTTGTGGATCATAGAAGAAAAGTTGAAAGATGAAATCAAAGTAAAAGGGCTATGGATAAAAAGCAAAGTTTAAAAAGACAAAAATACCTCTACGTTGGTCTAACAATTAAACTAAATTGAATCCTAAATCCTCAAAGACCTGGATAACCCTGCCCTTAATATTCGATAGTTAGGGATCAGGTTGAATCATTATCCGATCATCTCAACCAAGAAACAACTATTCATAAAAGTTATTACTAAATCAGTTGTAAACTTCTTCTTAGAAAACAATATTTTGCTAAGGATTGGCCACTTTCAAAACCCCTGGCTATTTGAATTTGTTAGAGATGGATAAAATTTTTTAGGATGCTTATTTGCTGATTGTTAAGGAAAGGGCCTTTGTTATTATGGCTCCTTTATATAGTAAATTAATCTTTGTCTTATAAAACTCAGTGGCAAAATTATCAAATTTTTGTCTGTTTTTTGTGTTTATAAGCAGGTGATTTATTCGTTATTCAAATTTTACCTTTTTATAATTATCAAACAATAACTATCAAATTAAACTAAGAAAAAATCCTATTTAATTGTTATTTATTCTGGTATAACTGAATATTACTTGTGTATGATGTGTGTATATTTTTCCATGAATTGCTGATAGTAAATCCCTCAGCCATTATTCGATTAATATTGCATAAGTCAAGGAGGTTACAGCGAAAAACAAATATAAGAGGAAAATATTGACACAAAGACTTCATTGGGATCAAGAAATGAAATAATTTGATCATTATATGAAAGGAAGACTAGTACAAATTTTAAACCGCACTCTCATATCTCCTAAAACCTATTCTTAAAGTGGAATTTAGAACGTTTATCAGAATGACTGGTCAATAAGAAGATTAGATTTTCTTAAAGTGAGATGATAACTTGTACCTCTCGAAAATTATAGTCAAATTTCATCTCCTTATTCTTATGCATAATCTACAAGATGGATAGGCACAAGGAAAACTATATTTTGTAGTCATTAGAAACTATAGAACAATGTTAATAAAGTTGTGTAAACAAATGAGATTCAATTCATTAAATTTAGAGCAATAATCTTTTAATTGTAAAGAAAACAACAATAGAATGTGAGTATAGCCTGTGAAAGCGATTGAGTGATTAACTATTTATTCGTTGTTTTTATGCAACCCCCTAATATTATTAAATGATCAGACCTAATTTAAAATTTTTTTGCCTCTGTAAAGCCTCTGTAAACATAAAATTCAACCAGATATTGGAGAGATATTAATCAAATTATATTATATAAAAAATACTACCCTTTTAGAAATAAAATAAAATAACTTTATTTTATAAAATCAAAACATTTAGTTGGGCCTTATAGAATTTAATTAATGACCTATAGNTAAATCCTCAAAGACCTGGATAACCCTGCCCTTAATATTCGATAGTTAGGGATCAGGTTGAATCATTATCCGATCATCTCAACCAAGAAACAACTATTCATAAAAGTTATTACTAAATCAGTTGTAAACTTCTTCTTAGAAAACAATATTTTGCTAAGGATTGGCCACTTTCAAAACCCCTGGCTATTTGAATTTGTTAGAGATGGATAAAATTTTTTAGGATGCTTATTTGCTGATTGTTAAGGAAAGGGCCTTTGTTATTATGGCTCCTTTATATAGTAAATTAATCTTTGTCTTATAAAACTCAGTGGCAAAATTATCAAATTTTTGTCTGTTTTTTGTGTTTATAAGCAGGTGATTTATTCGTTATTCAAATTTTACCTTTTTATAATTATCAAACAATAACTATCAAATTAAACTAAGAAAAAATCCTATTTAATTGTTATTTATTCTGGTATAACTGAATATTACTTGTGTATGATGTGTGTATATTTTTCCATGAATTGCTGATAGTAAATCCCTCAGCCATTATTCGATTAATATTGCATAAGTCAAGGAGGTTACAGCGAAAAACAAATATAAGAGGAAAATATTGACACAAAGACTTCATTGGGATCAAGAAATGAAATAATTTGATCATTATATGAAAGGAAGACTAGTACAAATTTTAAACCGCACTCTCATATCTCCTAAAACCTATTCTTAAAGTGGAATTTAGAACGTTTATCAGAATGACTGGTCAATAAGAAGATTAGATTTTCTTAAAGTGAGATGATAACTTGTACCTCTCGAAAATTATAGTCAAATTTCATCTCCTTATTCTTATGCATAATCTACAAGATGGATAGGCACAAGGAAAACTATATTTTGTAGTCATTAGAAACTATAGAACAATGTTAATAAAGTTGTGTAAACAAATGAGATTCAATTCATTAAATTTAGAGCAATAATCTTTTAATTGTAAAGAAAACAACAATAGAATGTGAGTATAGCCTGTGAAAGCGATTGAGTGATTAACTATTTATTCGTTGTTTTTATGCAACCCCCTAATATTATTAAATGATCAGACCTAATTTAAAATTTTTTTGCCTCTGTAAAGCCTCTGTAAACATAAAATTCAACCAGATATTGGAGAGATATTAATCAAATTATATTATATAAAAAATACTACCCTTTTAGAAATAAAATAAAATAACTTTATTTTATAAAATCAAAACATTTAGTTGGGCCTTATAGAATTTAATTAATGACCTATAGTTTGATCATTTAATTTGGTATTTTTTAAGTGAATTAACATATATTTGAGTGTATAGACTACAAAGCTGCATAAATAGAATTGAGATCATAAATATGATACAACATCTATATATCAAAAGTCTCCTTGATATAGATATGAGACTGCTAAAGTAAAATCTAAAAATAGAAAAGAAAAACATAATCGTATAACAGTCATATTATGTAAAATCCTTTAAATTTAAATATAAAAGAGGTGCATCATTGAAAAAGTTTTAGGTTATAGTTGGCTGTTTTATTTTAATTTAATTTTTGGGCTTATGCACATGCTCACATACTAATGACTATATATAAAGCGCATGGCTAGTTCAATTATACTTATCTATTCAGACGCAAGACAAACAGACACGATTAGCATGGTGATTAATCATTAACAAATTTTTAAATGATCAATTAGATTTAATTAAACATTTGATTATTGTAATAAGATTGACTTCTCAAGAAATCTTTCTTTTAATACCTTGATTGTTAAACTTAGTTAAATCAAATGATAACTAAGCAATGCTTTCTGTTTGAATTTACGTTCAGCATACAAAAGTTTGATTTTTTGTTTCATATACTGATCCATCTCATCTGGCTTAAATTGACGCATTTTTTTTTATAATTGACGTGAGATAAGCAATATTTTTGAATTTCCAGTTAATTCTTCTAATAAACAATTGATATTAGCATAAGTTATGCAAAAAAATGATTTATTTTTCATTTCATGATTTCACAATATTTTTGAATGATTAGATTGGAACAATTACATGTAATATAAACAGATAAATATTGTATAAAGTTAAATATGTGCTAATGGTTTCAACAATTATTCTATATTTATTATTTTCATTTAAATTGAATCTGAGTAAATTGTTGTTTTATCAGTTATTCTATTTCATGTTTTAATTATTAATGAGATAGGAATCTATTACCATAATAATGAAAAACATATAATTACCATTGTTACAATTATTCCATATAAAAGACTTCAAAAGAATCAAATAAATTAATCAAAGTTAAAAATCTATAAGTTGATTTCTTGAGGATCTGCTAAAATAATAGAGGTTAAGAATTTAATCTGTTATTTTGAATCGTATATGTTAAAAAGATTATAGTTAATAACAATACTTATTATTTTTCATTTCTAATAGGTACGAACGAAATTTGTTTGAAAAAAAATGGGGTTTAGCGTTATCAACAATCAGAGGCTAATATAGGAATGTTTTACAATTAAATGGAGGAGCAATCATATCATCAGGAGAATCAATTGATTTTGCAGAACAAAAAAAAACTTATTTTACAGGAGAAAGTAAGGGTATCTGTCTTAATGAGCATTTTACTAATTATTGTATTATACATTGAATGTGAAAGGAGATTCAATTATTTTTAGCTTTTTCAAGTATACGAATTAAATAAATTAAAAATTTGGTTTTGGGATAATGATAGCAGATTCTACACGATTAATACATACATAATAGAAGAGAAACAAGAAACTTTGGCTTATGACGGTACGGCATAAAGTAGTTTTATTCTAAAATTTCCTGATTAATTTGTTAGAGGGTTTAGAATACAGGGATTAATTTTCATTTTTTTGAAAATATAATATTAACGATATTAAATGTGGATGGTTTTAATTTAAATTAAAGAATTGAAGATCAGTTGAGTATCCTTAAGATAGAAGCCTTCTACAAATCATGAAATATGAATTTATCATATAGTATTTATTATTAAGTTTTTCAAACATCAACTAATTATTAAAGTTTATATTGTTTTAGAATGCTGAATCAGCTTAAACCAAAATCCCAATTATAATATGATTATTAATAATAATTAGATCAAGTAATCACTTTATCTTCCACATTATTTAAAAATATTGATAAAAAATTAATCAATTAATGACTAGAACTTTAACTCACTAGACAATTCAAAGCAAATAAATATTGGGTTGATTTCAAGAAATGGAAATTTTGATTGATGATCTTTAAATCTCTAGTTCAATCCTAAACGTTAAGAGTAGTGAGAAAAATGATTAATCGCATGTCTTCACTCATTCTGTTTTACGACTTCCCAACTATATATAAGTTAGGTCAATCACCTAATACTATTCTATTATAAAGGCATAGGTCAAAATCCTCTCTTTTTTTTTTCTTTAGGTTGAATTCACGATTGATAATGTTATTGTAAAATGCTGAGATACAACATTGAAAAAAAACTAGTCAAAAAGAAAATAATAATTATATCTATAAACATTTATTTAAGCTATAAAGACTCAAAGTTTAATTTATTAACATATCTTGGCATTACAATGTTTCCAATAATTATTGTAAGGTTTTATTAAAAGAATCTTTGCTGTTGTATTTAATCTATGTTCTACTAATATTGTAAAATCTTACATTTTTCTCTCGTTATCACTTCACTAATGAAAGTTATATGAAATAATTTTGAATAATTTAATTGAAGAATTTTATTATATAATTCTTTTAAGAACTGCTTATAAATTCAATGCGAAAATATCTAATTTTATGATAATTAGAATTAAATGAGTTTGGTAAGAAAATTGAGAATCTCAACCTTCAAAGTTTAACTTTATATTGGGCTTATAATCCAAAATTAATTAATCCTTGGTTTTTTTACACTTGATTCATTCAGAATATTATATCATATAAAATGAGGCTAGTTTATAAGTTGAAATTTAAATCTGTAAGGATATCGATACTAAATGCAGAATTTAAGAATTATTTTATAGATTTTTATTTGATCTCTTATTCAAATGTCCTAGATAAAAATTAGGTAGGCTTCAATACTCACTTTTATTAAATACATTAACAAAGATTGCAATAAAAATAATTCTAAATCATAATTTGTCACAATCTTTTTGAAGACAAGAAAAAAATTGCACAATAAATAAAAAAGGAATTATTTTTTCATAAGTCATAATTGAACTATGTAACAAATATAGGACTTTATTGTACTCGGTATATTTCAGGGCTGGGGTATAGATTGAGAAAATAATATTAGAGTACTCGTAACACATATGTAATAATTACTATTGAGGAATTTATAAAATCAATTGAACTTCCTAAATCACCATCAAATGTTTTTAATAAATTCAAGCAAACAAATGTTAAGTTCATATCGCACTTCTAAAATTTGATGGTTTTTAAATTCTAATCATAAATATTCTAAAAAAGGAACCATACAAGACTGTAAGAGTAGATCTGTCATTGGATTAAGTAATCGGTAGAAATGTTATTATACCTTGAATAAATATTGAATGAGGCAATAATTAGGAAGAATGGTAGGACTCAATAATTCTGAATAACTATTTAGGTTCTATTTAATGGGTTGTAATTAATTTTATTATATAAATCAATTTGATTGAAAATAGTAAATCCTCTTATGTGATGATTCTATTAGAACGAATTCTTACTAGAATATGGATGTGGAAGATGGTTGAATAATACAAGGTCAAGAGTGCACACTACCATAACTGCTTTGATAACTCCCCCTCATCAATCACTAATTTGATAATTGCTCCATTTTTTCTTATAGCTATTGAAAATTTTAAATGGCTTATCTTAAATAAATACACAATATTTTAAATATAAATAGGTTTTAAGTAATTGTAAAGACATTTGTATTTGGGTTCTTGAAGGAAATTAGTTTGAAAACATAAACTTTTATTTTTACTTCTAGAAATTCAGGATTACCTCTTAATCAGAAAATTGTTCATGTTATTTGTTATTTTTATTAATGCTGAATAGAGCAACTGAAACCAACCTTCGCACTTAATATAAATTGTCTACTGATAAATTAGATGCTTCTCGCATGCAACTTAATCTCTACTACTAGCAAAAGTTTAATTGAAATTTCATTAGTAATGTTTTACATACTGAATGTATAGGTATGTTCCAAAAGCATTTCTAAATCAGCATCGGAGTATTTGGCTCTAGTTACTCTTGAAAAACTTGCAATTTAGATAAGATGGTTCATCATGAATGTGAATTTCAAAGTATATTATGTACCATTAACTGTAGTGATAGAAAGTTTAAGAACATCAAGTTCAAAGATGGGACTAGATGTTAAATTATAGAGATATGATATACACAAATAAAAAATTACATTAAAATTTTTCATCTAGATATTATAATATTACTAAAGAATATATAAATAAAATGATTAATATCAACATTTGAATACTAAACTCAAATTTAGAGTGAAACTAATAAGTGATATCATAAGAAGTTGATCAAAATTTAGAAAACAACCAGAGGGAGAGTTAAATCAATTGGTTATCCCTGGACAAATTAGGAAAGTAAGAAACTTAATTGATTAATCAATTCACTTTTTTAGAAACTAAAAGATAATCCTGAGGCTTTAAAGACATTACATACTAGATTGCATAACACTAAAATGTTTATAGATGAGATCTAGATGGAATGAAATTTAGATCCTGATTCACTCAAATAATGGGGAGAACGATTAAATCTATTACTGATCAATTAGCAGATTGCAGAAATTGATAAGATTAGACCACTTATTTCAATTGCTTAATTTGTTATGTATTTAGTATAATATCAGGAAGAGTTCAAAGTAATATTTTAATCTAATACTAATGTTGAAAATGAAAAATATGTTTACATAATTTGAATCTGTTATTCTCACATCGGGTATTATGTCCTCAATTCTAAATTATCCAAAATTTTAGAATTTCAACCATATGTTGCTAAATCTATTGACATTGAATTGAATAGTAATTCAATTAAACTTATAATTGTAACTATGTCTGAGGATGGGACTGAGTTGATATTAGAATTTACTTTAAGAAACATTTAGATGTGTCTAAGAACTAGTAATTTATTACTTAAATAATCTGAAAAATGTACCTGACGTGACTGACTCGTTGTCTTTATACCTTCATATAGTTAAATGGATGAATGGGCAAGGTAATTGTAGAAGGATAATCATTTGGAAAACTAGACATCTACGAAATATACAATATAGTAAGTATTGTGATGTTTGCAGAGGTGCTACGTTATTTTCAACTGCAAGAGGTAGGATTGAAGAAGGTATAGATTTTGAGATTCATTATGAAAGATGTATTGTTGTGTTTGAATTTCCAGCTTTGAGCAGTAAAGACACTTTGATTTTTGAGAAACATAGATCTTTAGAAATTTAAAATAGACAAATAAGTTTATTGAATTTGATGCAACGACATAAACAGGCTAATTTTTGGTTAGAGTTCTAAGAGGTAAGCAAATTATTGAATTATGAGCATAGTTGATTGAGATTTGGTTAGAAAGTAAATTACAAAAAAAAATGCCATTATGGATTTATAAATAATTAGAAGAATGTCCAAATTTTATAAATGAGACCTAGTTCGAAATTTCTTTAAAATTGTATTANACCATTAACTGTAGTGATAGAAAGTTTAAGAACATCAAGTTCAAAGATGGGACTAGATGTTAAATTATAGAGATATGATATACACAAATAAAAAATTACATTAAAATTTTTCATCTAGATATTATAATATTACTAAAGAATATATAAATAAAATGATTAATATCAACATTTGAATACTAAACTCAAATTTAGAGTGAAACTAATAAGTGATATCATAAGAAGTTGATCAAAATTTAGAAAACAACCAGAGGGAGAGTTAAATCAATTGGTTATCCCTGGACAAATTAGGAAAGTAAGAAACTTAATTGATTAATCAATTCACTTTTTTAGAAACTAAAAGATAATCCTGAGGCTTTAAAGACATTACATACTAGATTGCATAACACTAAAATGTTTATAGATGAGATCTAGATGGAATGAAATTTAGATCCTGATTCACTCAAATAATGGGGAGAACGATTAAATCTATTACTGATCAATTAGCAGATTGCAGAAATTGATAAGATTAGACCACTTATTTCAATTGCTTAATTTGTTATGTATTTAGTATAATATCAGGAAGAGTTCAAAGTAATATTTTAATCTAATACTAATGTTGAAAATGAAAAATATGTTTACATAATTTGAATCTGTTATTCTCACATCGGGTATTATGTCCTCAATTCTAAATTATCCAAAATTTTAGAATTTCAACCATATGTTGCTAAATCTATTGACATTGAATTGAATAGTAATTCAATTAAACTTATAATTGTAACTATGTCTGAGGATGGGACTGAGTTGATATTAGAATTTACTTTAAGAAACATTTAGATGTGTCTAAGAACTAGTAATTTATTACTTAAATAATCTGAAAAATGTACCTGACGTGACTGACTCGTTGTCTTTATACCTTCATATAGTTAAATGGATGAATGGGCAAGGTAATTGTAGAAGGATAATCATTTGGAAAACTAGACATCTACGAAATATACAATATAGTAAGTATTGTGATGTTTGCAGAGGTGCTACGTTATTTTCAACTGCAAGAGGTAGGATTGAAGAAGGTATAGATTTTGAGATTCATTATGAAAGATGTATTGTTGTGTTTGAATTTCCAGCTTTGAGCAGTAAAGACACTTTGATTTTTGAGAAACATAGATCTTTAGAAATTTAAAATAGACAAATAAGTTTATTGAATTTGATGCAACGACATAAACAGGCTAATTTTTGGTTAGAGTTCTAAGAGGTAAGCAAATTATTGAATTATGAGCATAGTTGATTGAGATTTGGTTAGAAAGTAAATTACAAAAAAAAATGCCATTATGGATTTATAAATAATTAGAAGAATGTCCAAATTTTATAAATGAGACCTAGTTCGAAATTTCTTTAAAATTGTATTAAAAGTAGCAATTTCGACATATATAACTATAAAATGTACTTAATAAACTCTTTCAACAAAGTCGAATGCCCTCTCTTCTCGTTTTCAAAGTGGAGGAATTAGATTAATTACTTACTCAAAACCCTACTATTCTCTAGAATACTAAGTAATATCTAGCAATTTGGCTTGTTTAAGGAACAATCAAATAAATCATAATGATAGGTCGCAATGCCTATTTATCCTAATTATATCAGTTAATGATTTGGAATTTTGTCAATACGCTCTAATATTAAATAGATGTGGGCTATTATGTTTTAAGCGTTTTAGTATATTTCATGTGTTATTTTGATTCATTAAATGGAAATGGCTTAAAAGCATATGCTGTTGCACTATATTTCCTAGAATTATTTCTAAATTAATTACTAAATTAAAAATATGGAAAAAGAGACCATTTTCTAGAAGCTCTTAAAATTGCCGCCATCTATTAATCTAAACTATGCGATTTCCTAATTTAGTTGTCTAAATTTGCTTATAGGACTAAATTAGGAATTTTTTCACCCGATCTCTCTATTTCCATTATATTACCAAATTGGCAGCACTTCAAAGATGTATATACTATAATTGTTTGGGATGAAATTTTCAGATAATTAATGAATCTAAATAATGAAGAAATTTGCGTATTTATATCAAAGTTCATAGTTCAAATTCCACAGTCACTGCAAATTTGAAAGGTTTGCAAGTGTCTGTAAGCTGCAATAAATTACTACGGCATTAAGTGATTGATATGTTATGTTGTGTTGTCCGTAATATAAATTAATAGAAATTATGACCATATAACATAGAATTACTAAATCAGATTTGTTACAGCTTCATTAGAGATGACAACCTATTACTCTTTTGAAATAGTTTCTATTCAATAATGTAATATACTGCTTTATATTAATAAAACTAATTATGAGTCCTATAACTTCCCCCTAAAAATTGAATTTTATTATAATGAAATATATGTATATCACTTAATTGACTTCTATTTTACTGCAACCACTCTGTAATTTGATAGATTTAATTACATAGGATTATGTTAAATCAACTGAATGAGTGACGGATAGCTTTTTTCAAATGTATTTGATGGGATAACTTGTTTTTTATGAAAATGATGATGGAAAATGATTACCGATACTTTAAAAATCATGGCTTTGCATATAAATTAGTATTATTAGACGAACTGTTTTCAAAAACTCTTATCTACCTATTGATTTTATAGTAAAGATGCAATTCGATTTCCACAGAATTATTTACAATATTATTATGCTTTACTCAAACAATAATCACAAATTCTCTTAATTATCAGCTTATTATTTGTCTTTACTCTTTATTCAGTATTTTTAATTCATTCTATACAGAATCGCTATTTGCATATTTTTACAAATAAAGCAAAAGTTCTATCTAAGTTCAATAGTGTTTGCACAATCAATTCTTCTAAGATCGAATGAGATGTTCTTGATTCTTTATTTCTGAATATTCATATCTAGTCAAGATCATAATTTTGCTAAAGATAAGAAATTCAAATAAGTAGTCTCAACTATTTACAAGCTCCTCCTATTACGCTGGGTCTATTTAGTCTGTATTGGAATTATATTATTTTTGCCATATAAGAATTACTGTTCATAAAATGAAATGGAATGATGCAAAAGCATAATTGCATATGTATATGGATAAGTACAGGTAAAAAGAGGTTAATCATTAGAAACAACTTGGATGTGAGTTTCTCTAATCATACAAGATTAGTAATATTAAGTTTACGCATGTTCGAAAGTAATTTTCTACAATACAATGAATAATATTTAAGAAATTTCAATAATATTACAAACAATCTATTTGTTCATAATTAAGATATTTATAGCATATAAAAATAGCAGGAAGAGATTCTTTAGCACACAGATTCCATTATATTGGTGCTTAGGCAAATAATTTCTAATAAAAGGATGGTAAAATAAAGAAATAGGTTGTATTTTATATATTAGAATTCAATTTGAGAGACTTTTATGGATTATTTGTTGTGAGCTTGATTTACAATATAGATTATTGCTTTCAATTATGAATTTATATAATATTAATTGTTATTTAATTGTAGATTTCTGTTACTGTCTAGGAATCTTGAGATAGTAAAATTTTGAGAGATTATGATTAATAGATATCTTAATTTATTTTTGAGTAACATTTTAATCAACATAAAACAGTATGAGGCATAATTTCGATCTAAGTATGCTTTCTAATTTATGATATGTGATTCTATATGTAAGAGAGTGTAAGCATTCCTAAAATGTAAAGAATCCTCATAATTAACAAATTAAGTCAATTTAATCTAGGAATTTGAATCTGTTGATACAGATCCAATCATATTTCAATATAAATATTATAGGCTATAACTTCCTCAATGAAAATAGTAATTATATTAAGGTAGCCAATATAATTACTATACTGAAGTGAGTTATAAATGAATGATAGATTCTTTGATTTGAACACATTCAAAATAATATAATATAAGAGAGACTAGATGACCCAAATTTGATAAATTCTAATGTCTATTTTATTTGACATTCAATTTTAAAATCCTGATCATGGAATTCCCTTTTATAAGCGATGATAGAATAAAAAATCAAACAGAGCTCGATTATTATTCTAAAGGAGCATAATAAATATACTCTTAGTCAATAGACGATTAAGAAACTCAATCTAAGTGTTATATATTCAAAAATAGCAATTGATAAATAGTGACAGAGTATAAAGAGCAAGATAAGATAGAGAAAATACTTAGCAAATCTTTTATACTATATAATTTAGGCAGCTATATTTTACATCTATTTTATAAATAAAAATAAATAATTAAATGGGATAAGCTTTAGGCTTTAATAAAAATTGCATTAAGATTTTCACTTGTTGCCATGAAGAAAAATAACCTGAAGATTCATTTTGTGAAAAATGCATAATAAGATTAATGATAAATAATATCATTTATAATATTCTACATATTCGCCTCCTACTCTTCTTGTGGTAATTTTGCTTTTGAAATATCTAACAGAGCAATTAAAGGAAAGTACACCCAGAATTACCAGAAGAGTTATTCAATCGTTGCTTAATTGTAATTCTACTGCTACTCCACCTAAAATTGCAAAAATATTACAAATTATCAAATCGAAAATTAATCAGATAAATAGGTGTATTTTAATAAAATATTAATCTTCTCTGCAAGTTAGAAGGCTTTAAAATTGAAATATTATTCACCTAAATTATCAAATATAAACAATAAATAATATATTTAGTTATCACGCCAAATGTAAGTTTAATGACAAAAATTACTATAATGGAGGTCCTAATAATAATATTAAAACTATTAAAGGAAAAAATATTTGTTAACCATATATCAGCTCAACAAAATATGCAAAGTAAATCCGAATATTCTTTCTATAATAATATATCAACTTCAGGAAATCATTCCAATCCAAAATCACTATAATTAAAATCGATTTTGTTGAAGATTTCCTAAGCTAAATAATCACTCTGCATAATTATCTAATAAATTTCAATTATCTAAGTATAGTATCTATATCATTGAGATTTGATTTATTGTAAGGCATAATAAAGTAGTAAGTGCCATGTAGTTCAAGAGAAGTTGGTTTCAGATGGCATCCCTAATATTCTATTCGGTCTGACTAATGGTTTATGTTTTTTCCTCTTCCTCACTGTTGTTAAAGTTGACATCAAGTCCATCATCTAGCGAGCAGCCACTTTTTTTAAACGAGAATTTTTCAAGATACTTCCATTAACTAGGCAGTCTAAGTTATTTAACTAATGGTTGTAAATCAAAGATATATTTTTCAATAGTTTATTGATTTGAAATGTTATCAATATGAACAGCCATCAAATCCTCGGTTGAATTATTCTGTTGGTTTGACCTTAATCTTTTTCAAATGTTATTCCTACCATCCTCTGGCTTCTTCGATTTCTTGATTTTTGGTTTTTGGTTTTTTATTATTCATCATTCATGTATTATTGATTTTATTTTTCTGTTTGAAGTGGCTTTTAAGCTTTGAATATTTTCAATGTGTTGATCATCACTCAAAAATTTCATTGAATTATTTTTCGCAAATTGTTATATTAGTCTGCACAATCTTTTTTAGAATCATATCTGTTTTATTTCTACTGTTATCTCCAAAAAAAGAATTAGAGCTGCTACTCCACTGAATCTTTTAGATATGAAAGGGGTTATGCAATTAAAAGTTAATGCAGAGAGACATTGCAATAGAGAATAAATAGAAGGAACTCTAAATAAATTGAAAAAACTAACAAAAAAATTAAAAACAGTTTTTCGAAGCAAAATCCAGGTGATCATACCTTGATGATAAACAAGAGAAAGTATACAAAACTACTCACCATGAAGATTTATGGTTTTATATTTTTTTCCAACCAGAAATTAGCTGATTAAGTCATGA